AGAAGCTCCATATATATCGACTGTTGCGGGGGGGGGGGGGGGGTGTTAGCGAGCCTCTATGAAGGCCGGCACGGTACACGAGGGTTTGGGTGGCCAGCGCCGATCCCGACCACCTTTGCCTCCCCAATGCTGATGTTTAATACACCCCGCAGCATGTACCCCTTTGAGGCTGAGCCAATCTGGAGGAGGCCTAGGACGGGTTCGGATAACCGCCACTGATGTTGGTCGTGATCGGGAATGAAACTTGGATGGCCGGGTTCACTCACTCACCCAGACACACACAAAACGAAGACAAAGATCCCCCATATAGCATGCACAGACTGTTGGGGCAAGTGCTGAATGCCAGCACGGCACACGAGGGGTGGGTGGCCAGTACCACGCCCGTCCACCTTTGTCTCCCTAGTGGCGACCTTTACACACCGCACCAGGTACTCATTTGAGGCTGAGTCGACCTAGGGGGGACCCAGGACCGGTTCAGATAATCGTCACTGGTGTTGGCCACAAGCGGGAATTGAACTCGGGCCGCCGGATTTGTAGCGCAGCGTAGCGCTAACCGCTCCCCTCAGACTCACACTCACACCCATACACTCACACACACTCACACCCATACACTCACACCCATACACTCACACCCATACACTCAGACACACTCACACACACACTCACACCCATACACTCACACACACACTCACACCCATACACTCACACACACTCACACCCATACACTCACACCCATACACTCACACACACACACTCACACCGATACACTCACACACACACTCACACACACTCACACCCATACACTCACACCCATACACTCACACCCATACACTCACACACACTCACACACACACTCACACCCATACACTCACACACACACTCACACCCATACACTCTCACACACACTCACACCCATACACTCACACCCATACACTCACACACCCATACACTCAGACACACTCACACCCATACACTCACACACACACTCACACCCATACACTCAGTCACACACTCACACCCATACACTCAGTCACACACACACTCACATCCATACACTCAGACACACCCTCACACCCACACTCAGACACACACTCACACACTAAGACACACACTCACACCCATACACTCAGACACACACTCACACACACTCACACCTATACACTCACACACACACACACACTCAGACACACTCACACGCACACACTCAGACACACACACTCAGATACACACTCACACGCACACACTCATACACAGACTCACACCCATACACTCAGACACACACCCACGCACTCAGACACACACTCACCCCCACACACTCAGACACACACTCACTCACACACCCATACACTCAGACACCCACTCACACCCACACACTCAGACACACACTCACACACACACTCACACCCATACACTCAGACACACACTCACACATACACTTACACCCACACTTACACCCACACAGTCAGACACACACTCACACCCACACACTCAGACACACACTCACACCCACACACTCAGACACACACACACACACTCAGACATACACTCACACGCACACACTCAGACACACACACTCAGACACTCACACACTCATACACAGACTCACACCCATACACTCAGACACACACCCACGCACTCAGACACACACTCACCCCCACACACTCAGACACACACTCACACCCACACACTCAGACACACACTCACACCCACACACTCAGACACACACTCACACCCACACACTCAGACACACACTCACACCCACACACTCAGTCATACACCCACCACACTCAGACACACACTCACACCCACCACACTCAGACACACACTCACACCCATACACTCAGACACACACTCACACCCATACACTCAGACACACACTCACACACACACTTACACCCACACAGTCAGACACACACTCACACCCACACACTCTGACACACACTCACACCCACACTCACACACACACACACTCAGACACACACTCAGACACACACACTCAGACACTCACACTCACACCCATTCACTCAGACACACACCCACGCACTCAGACACACACTCACCCCCACACACTCAGACACACACTCACACCCACACACTCAGTCATACACCCATACACTCAGACACACACTCACACCCACCACACTCAGACACACACTCACACCCATACACTCAGACACACACTCACACCCATACACTCAGACACACACTCACACACACACTTACACCCACACAGTCAGACACACACTCAGACACACACTCACACCCACACTCAGACACACACACTCAGACACACACACTCAGACACTCATACACAGACTCACACCCATACACTCAGACACACACCCACGCACTCAGACACACACTAACCCCCACACACTCAGACACACACTAACCCCCACACACTCAGACACACACTCACCCCCACACACTCAGACACACACTCACCCCCACACACTCAGACACACACTCACACACACACACTCAGACACACACTCAGACACACACACTCAGACACTCACACACTCATACACAGACTCACACCCATACACTCAGACTCACACCCATACACTCAGACTCACACCCATACATTCAGACACACCCCCACGCACTCAGACACACACTCACACCCACACACTCAGACACACACTCACCCCCACACACTCAGACACACACTCACACACACACACTCAGACACACACTCAGACACACACACTCAGACACTCACACACTCATACACAGACTCACACCCATACACTCAGACACACACTCACCCCCACACACTCAGACACACACTCACACCCACACACTCAGTCATACACCCATACACTGAGACACACACTCACACCCACCACACTCAGACACACACTCACACCCATACACTCAGACACACACTCACACCCATACACTCAGACACACACTCACACCCATACACTCAGACACACACTCACACACACACTTACACCCACACAGTCAGACACACACTCAGACACACACTCACACCCACACTCAGACACACACTCACACACACACTTACACCCACACTTACACCCACACAGTCAGACACACACTCACACCCACACACTCAGACACACACTCACACACACACACTCAGACACACACACTCAGACACTCATACACAGACTCACACCCATACACTCAGACACACACCCACGCACTCAGACACACACTAACCCCCACACACTCAGACACACACTCACCCCCACACACTCAGACACACACTCACCCCCACACACTCAGACACACACTCACACACACACACTCAGACACACACTCAGACACACACACTCAGACACTCACACACTCATACACAGACTCACACCCATACACTCAGACTCACACCCATACATTCAGACACACCCCCACGCACTCAGACACACACTCACACCCACACACTCAGACACACACTCACCCCCACACACTCAGACACACACTCACACACACACACTCAGACACACACTCAGACACACACACTCAGACACTCACACACTCATACACAGACTCACACCCATACACTCAGACACACACTCACCCCCACACACTCAGACACACACTCACACCCACACACTCAGTCATACACCCATACACTGAGACACACACTCACACCCACCACACTCAGACACACACTCACACCCATACACTCAGACACACACTCACACCCACACACTCAGACACACACTCACACGCAATACCAATACTCGGCATTCGCCACTAAGTGACGGTGACGTCACCACGGTGCCTGTGCCAGGCCAGGTCCACTTTGAGGCCACATGCGTCGAAGGCTCGCTGACAGCAGGTGTCGGGACAGACCCAGCAGGTGCCAGTGGTTGGCTGACTAAGATTACCGGGAGATGCACACCAGCCGTACCCCCTCATGTACCAACTTGCTCCATTGTATCTGCCCGGTGCTCAGCTCGTTGTTGTGAGCGTTGCTCCTCTGCCCTCCATTGTTTCTGGAGGGCGACTGCCTGCAACCGCCCAGTAGTAGCGTCCTTCACGAGCCTCCTCCACTGAGGCCGATCTTGACACCGCTGATACAGGTCTTCGGCAAGTCCATTCAGCTCCATATCCGCTCCTACCGCATCAGTTAATCTCTTCTCCAGCCCGTGTCGTGCCCTTTTAGCCCCCTCTGTGCGACCAACAGAAGCTGCTTGGGAATGCGGTGGCTGGGCATGCGGGCTACATGGCATTGCCAACGTAGCCTTGCCTTGAAGAAGGAGCTCACCGATGGGAATGTGTCCAGATCTTTCAAGGATTTGTGCTCCTCACAATCCAGCCTGGTTAAAGCCAGGATGGATCACAGACATGCCAGTCTGAATGTTTCTAAGCGGCGCAGATGTTCCATTACAGAGGTCCACGTTTCACAAGCATAGAGAAGACCGGACACTTCGTGCGGAGCGACAGACCAGGTAGCTTCCACACAGCGTTGCGCAACCGATGAAAAGATAATGAGACCCTCTGCTGTCAAACCGGAGCTGATCATCAGCACACCCGTACACACACACACCCTCACACCCACGCACACACACTCAGGCCCATACACACACACCCAATCACACCCACACACACTAACACCCATACAAACTCATACACACAATCACACCCACAGACACTCACACCCACACGCACTCACACCACACCGTCAACTCATGTAAGCCGACCACGGCTGAAAGTGATGTAAACTCTCACGATGTACTAGACGCGCGAGAGAGCTGAATGTGGCACACAGGCAGCGTCATTACAATGATCATTATGTATCCGGTATATCAATCAATATTATTTTATCAATTACTGACTTCCTCAAGAAACTCTTTGAGCACGGGCGCTCCAAGCCTCGCGCGAATCCCATCATCACCACCATCACCACCTGCGAACCGAGTACTTCGCCCCCTTCGGCAGACCCCAGAACCCTGGGGATTCGGGATAAGGGGGTACCCCCCCCCTCTCTCCCAGCCTCCCACCCCCCCAGCGGTGCCTCTCACCTCCGAGTGCTCGCCCCGGGGCGCCGCGTTCACTCGCCCCCCCTGCAGCCCCTCCCCCTTCCCCCAGCCGGGACCCCTGCAGCAGGAGATGGACCCCCCCCCGCCACCACCAGGGGCTGGGTCCCCTCGATGGAGCCCCCCCCCCTCCCGCCCACTGCCCTGTAGAGGACCCCGGTGCTGAGAGGCGCCGATGTCGCTGCTGCCACCCCGTGAATCCGGCACCCACGCGCCACGAGGCGATTTTATGAACGGGGCACGAGGGGGGCGGGGCGAGGAGCAGGGGGGGGCGCAGGGGGGCGGGGCGGGGGGGTGCAGGGGGGGGGCGAGGGGAGGAGCAGGGGGGGGCGAGGCCCCCCCCGCCCGCGTGGCTGTTATCTCGGGGCGGCGTCGCTGATTGTCGTGTTGTATTTATCTCTCCCGTGGCATTTCAAGAGCGCCGGGGAAAGACATTTTTAGGGGGGGGGGGGGGGGGTGCGGCATCGTTTGGTGTGGGGGGAGGGCCGGGGGCGTCGTGAGGTGACGGACAGCAGAGTCCACGTGGGACACACACACAGACACAGACACACACACAGACACACACACACACAGGCACATACACACACACACAGACACACACAGGCACACACACAGGCACACACACACACACACAGGCACATACACACACAGGCACACACACTCACACTCGCACGTCGTCCATAATAAAGTGGTGGTGGTGTGTTAACCACGCATTTATATAAACGCGATCCAACCCAACGACCTTCGTTGTGAATATTGGGCGCGATATCCTACCACGTGTTCAACTCGTAATAGCATCGCCCCACAGTCTCCACGGCGTCGTGGATCAGCCAGCAGCGGGCATTCGGTTCAACACGAGCAAAAACTCCGGGCCGGTTTCGACATTCACCGTCTCATCAACAGCAGCAGCAGAGCCAGGCTCGCCTGAGCAAATGGCGGCGACGTGCCACGTGTCGACAGGCAAGGGCCCTCCTCCTCCTCAATCTCGCCGTCTCTCGAAGACGCGGGTCCCAGTTCGACACAAAACCTCCACCACACGGGGCGGAACGATCACTCCCGTGGGCGTGGGGGACACCACAGAAATAGTCGAGCGGTCGAATCGTCCCCCCCCTCCTCCTCCTCCCCCCTCCTCCTCCCTCCTCCTCCTGAACACAGGTGGGCGGGGGGGGTCAGCGTGCTCCTCGTCATGAGGCCGAGTGCCACTCCACTGCTGGATGGAGCCCCATTGTCCACAGGCCACTGGCGTGGCGCTCACGGCGCCAGGCTGTCGGACCGCACTCCGCCACCGCCGGCTGTCTTGTTGTTGTTTGTGTCGTTGTTGTGTTGTTGTTGCTGTGTTGTTGTTGTGGTGGTGGTGGTTTTGGCGGTGGTGTTTACGATCCACGTCTCCCCCTCTGTATCTCTCTAGCGTGGAGGCGACTCGCGATAATGGAATGGAGCTGCTGATAATTCATCTCGGGCGGAAGCAATTAAGGGAGCGGATTCCCCCTCCCCCTCTGGGGATTCCCCCAGGAGATGAGGGGGGCGGGGCGGGTGGGGTGGGGTGAGCTAATTAGGATCCATATCTCAGGAGGTCGCCTCTCACCACTCCCCAGCGCCCCGCACTTTCACGCCTCCCAGTTGCCGCCCCGAGCCAGCCTGCTGCCGCTGCTGCTCGTGGAGAGTGGGGTGGGGGTGGGGGGAGCGTGGGGTGGGGGGTGGGTTGGGGTGGGGGGGTCCTGGCCATTAGGGAGGCGTTAATTGGAGAGCGAAGCGAGCGAGCCGCAGGTCTCGTGACCCCCCCCGCCCGCCGCCTCCACCCCGGGCCGACGGGCCGACGGGAAATGAATTTGCGGGCCACGCGCCACGCGGCCTCGGCCATTTAATAATGGAGCGATTAACGTTCCCTAACGAGACAATCACCCACGCCGACCCCCCCCCTCCCCCCCGTGGCTCGAGCCGTCTTGGCGCCGTGATGGATGGGGAGGCTTTCCGCGCCGCACGTGTCGATCGCTCGGCTTGGGGCTGCGAGGTAGCAAGCACAGCAATGGACCACCGTAGCATCCGTCTGTGCGGATCTCGGAGCGTCACCCCCCTCCCCACTCCTCACCGCTGCCGTGAGGAGCCTTTGAGCCTCGCGCGCGCGACTCTGAATTCGAACCCTGCCCCGAACCCGGGACGAAGTCCCCCGTGGGGGCTGGTGAGAGACCGTGTGACGTGGCGGCTCACTGAATACCATCACGGGCAGCGAGTGACGCGATCTCCATATGAATTATGCACAATGAGAATATTCATATCGGCCGTGCGCGATTACATGAATAAGGCATCATGTTTGTGGTGTGTGTATAATGTTAGAGTGCGGTTACTACATCCCGTACATATGCAGGGCTCCGCGAGACCACGAAATCACGTAACAAACGCCGTTCGCCACTTCGTGGTAGTGTCACCACGGTGCTTGTACCAGGCTATGTACCCCAAGAGGCTATCAATTGAGCACACTGCCCAGGTATGTTCCATTGGGGAAGAGGGGGGAGGGAGTCCCCGTTTCGCAAGCATAGAGAAGGGACGGCGTGGCCGCGGCAGATTCATATGGAGCGACATACCAGGAAGCTTCCACACAGAAGCGTTACGCAGCCGATGAAACGATAATGTCGCTCGACTGATTCGGAGCGAGACCTCTGCTATCAAACCGGAGCTGGTCATAAACACACTGCCCAGGTATGGAAACGTTTCCACTCTCTCCACAGCTACCCCCACCAATGGAAGGAGAGGAGTGGAGGGAGAGCGTCATTTGAGGACATTAAATACCCAGGCAGGTGCATTGTTTTCTGGGGCTGATGGTAAGGCCCCACCTCAGCACGTTCCAGGTTCAGCAGCAGTCTACAAATCCTTCTCAGTGGGCAGCAATTAACAGATCATCTGCATACATATCATGGTTGGCTAAGCGGGAACCATCCCTTGACTGCACCCGGGCATCGTTCAGCCTCTCATTGTAACCGTACCAGATGGAAATTCCACTGGTACATCCGTGGAAAGCTTATTGAGCTTCGTGGTCAAAGATTATGTTCAATAGTGTGCGGGGGGGGGGGGGCAAAGAATATCCCTGTCGCACTCCAGGGTAAACAGAAAATGGATCCGACTCCCGGCCACGCAGCTTTGCCCAGGCCTGCCCACCATCGTGAGGGTCCTTAATGATTATGAGCAGAGGGTCAGGGACTAGAAAAGCACAAAGACGAACCCACAGCCCTGGCCTAGTTATGGTATTGTAGGACTCGATCAGGCCAATAAATCCAAAATGAAGTAGATCCAGTAAATGGTTTGTACGTGAAGGATAAACAAAAATAATCGGGACCACCAGGGCATGCTTACAATCCTGCGGAACCCATCCTGTGGTCCGAATGGTTGTTATGGTCACCTAGGCAGTCTGCACAAAAAATTCCACTCTCCCTCAGCTGTTCGCTTGAGGTCATGTCACGTCGATGGTTGTTTTACCTGATCTCGGGGCCTCTGGATCACCCTTTACACTTCCAAAAATGGTTGGCACATTCGCGAACCGCTCACAGAGTGGCTACTTTCTCCAATATTTGAGGCATGGCGGCACCGGCGAGGTCAACCCCCACAATGCCTCGCGATATTTGAACTGAGGGGGTTTCCCCTCCTCCAAGATCTCACAGAGATGCTCAACAAAACCAGCGAGCCAGTTCTTGGGGGTTGGATGGTGATGGGTGTGGCACTGCAAGTTACCTCCCAGCGCAGGCTGCGGTATAGGCCTCCTCAATCTTGGACGTGAGATGTTGTAGACGGTGGGAGGGGGCCTGCTGCATTCTTTCATCGAGCTGGAACGCCTCCTCCATCAGCGAGGGTCTTTGTTGAAGGCTGCACCATGTAACCAATGCAGCCAACCCCAGCTGCAAGTGATGATGAACCATCTCACTTGTAACCTTCGTCAGCGATACCAGGCTACTGTGTTCAAGCGGGTCTCTAGATGAACGCTTACCACCAGTGAAATAGTGGTAGGCACAACTTACACATGACACACCGATGGTCAGTGGGCAGATCAGCTCCATGGTAGGCCCTGGTGCAAAGTACATGGGCCTACATTTGCTCTGCCATCACGTGGTCCAGCAGATGTTCTTGCTTGGACTTGGCATGCATCCATGATGTTGTGTGTGTAGAGATGTAAATAGCTTCTATGGCATCTAGGTTCACGACTGCTTAGGTCACGTGCTTCTCTCTGGCACCGGCGAAAATATGGCAGGGAAGCGGGCCCTAGAGGGCATGGTCCTGTTGAACGGAGAGAGGGCACGTGAACGACACGGGGTAGCAAGGGGGTCCGAAAAGGGGGCTTGAGGGACATGTGACGCTGGCCCCGGTTCCTTCGGGAGAGATCGAGTAGGGGGCGTGGCTGGAGACGAAGCGAGGCGACGCTCGAGAGGAGAAGAGGGATGGGAGCGGAGCGACCGTGGTTGTTTGGAAGCGTGGACTCACCGTGTTACGTCTCTCCGCTCTTTGGTCGCCGGTTTAGATTGTAGTTCAGGTTACGTGGGTCAGGAAGAGTTACCGTCCTGACCCAGTTACGTAGTGACCCGGTTGGGGTCTAGTTAAACTGCTGTAACGTTAAAGTAGTAGCCCCGCTGGGCTGTATAATAAATGTGGTGCCTCCAGATTACAGTATGCGTCTCCGTGGGACCCACTACATATGGATGCGCCAATGCCAGAACAGCATGTTGGTAATTACAAACCCATGGGCTGCACACAAGTCTAGCAGCCTCCTACTGTTGTTATTGAGCTGATCTGGCCTTTGCCTTCCAATCCCTCTGGCCCAGGTTCCTGCATCATGACTCACTCGGGTTTTAAAAGTCACCGACAAGATAACTATCCCATAGGGCCACTTTAGCAAACATCTGGGACAGGTCATAGAAGACATCCGGACTCATCAGCCTTGTCTGCATCCCTCCACCGATGTTCAGCTCCTGTTGGTGCGTAAGCCACCACCACCATTCCTGGCATCCCGTTGATGAGGAAGCAAGCCTACAACAGCCTGGGCCTTATAGCTTCCCACATCTTGCCTCAATCTTGTTATGTTTGTTCAGAAGACGTGCCACTGTTGTTTAGCAATTTCCTATCC